AGGTAGTACTATGTCTAGTGTTGATTTATTTTCTTTTGACTATAGATAGGGATTAGATTAACATATATTTTTTTGTGGTCTTATGGTTGTACATTGCTACATGTTAGCAGTTTCAAAGGCTATCTCAAGCAATGCTAGATATGATTTTTTGATGATGTCGAGAAGAGAGAGGAAAATGAGAGAGAGAGAGAGAGTTTTTGTTGTTGTGAAGCAACCACTTCAAGATAGGACCATGAGACAACCATTTCACCATTCTAAGATTTAATGTTGCCATGCAACTTACAAAATTACTTTGTTGATCATACAAATTAAGGATAATTGAATTACTATAAGACAACTCAAAAGATACTACCTCTGTCCATAAAAAAAATGCAATTCTAGGTAAACTCTCGGTTAGCATGTTTGAAGTTTTTGACAAAATATACAAGTAAAAATATTAGTGTTAATGACACCAAATAAGTATAGTATAAAAATATATCTCATGACAAATCTAATGATATTTATTTGATATTTTTAATATTAATATTTTTTATTTCTAGTTAGTCAAACCTAAGATACTTTAAATTGGTACTGTGCTAAAATTACGTTTTCTTTTTTGAATGGAGAGAGTAACTTATATTGCATTAGTTGTTCAATTATACCATAATTACTCCCTCCGTTCTATATCATTCTCACGTCTGATTTGAATTTTGTCCCACAATAAACGTTACACACAGGCTGAGATCGTAGGCACAAGTTACCAGAACCACCTCGTGGCCATGGGCCAAAGGAATAAAAAAAATCGACTAAAAAAGGTAAAGAAATCCGATGGAGGCTTTGCAACGGAACTGCTATGCTTCCAGTTCGCTAGTTCCGCACGGAGGCAGCAGTGTGTCAGCTTTTTTTCATAGGCTTTATAGAGGCAGCGTCATTTACCATCTATCCCTATTGTAAGTTTTTTCACTTTCTCCATCACATTAAATTTTTAAACACATGTATGGAGTATTAAATGTAGATAAAAAATAACTAATTACACAGTTTAATTATAAATTACGAGACAAATCTTTTGAGTCTAGTTAGACCATGATTCGACAATAATTGTCAAAATAATCGAAAATCTTATAGTGTCGAAATCTTCGATTCATAACCCCAGTCTAAACCAGACATAAGTATCTCGTTTGAAACGGAAGGAGTACGTGACACTACCTAGAAAATCTATGGACTAGCCGAAGCATAATTCGAGTTCTGGTTGGTTGTAGGCGGCCGTGCAATCTTCGGGGGCCGGGGACATGTCGCTTTCTCAGTCGAAAAGCTGTCGTTCTCAAGGGTTGTTCTAGAACGTTCATCCGGGAACGCAAAACGCAGCCTGCTGGTGACGCGAAAGCGAAATCAACTGCTAGTAACGGAAAACCCCCATGAAATGAAAGCCTTTGAGCAGTCAGCACACGCAGCGCGCGCACAGGTGCAGTGCAAGCAAAGCGACGGCCGGAGGATGGTGCCGCGTCCGCGTGCCTCGAGCGCGCTTTCTCGCTTCCACGGGAGGAGGCCATGTTTTGTTCGGGCCCTGCGCCTCTGCCCCGGGTCTATCTGGTCCTGGTCGTGCACCGAGTCTCGGCCGGCGTAAGCGGACCGACCGTGTTTTTTGACCCGTGGGTCCACGGAGAATCAGGAACAGAGGTCGGCCGGGGACGTGTTTCTGGCGGTCCCGCCCGCTCGGCATCGCAAGTCCGGAACAGGTGCCCGCAGGCCGCCGTAGCATATGGTATTTTCCGGCTCGGCACTCGTCGCTCGGACTCGGTGGCTTGGAGAAACCGAGCGGGGGACGCGGGGGTGGGCCTAGGAACAGTGAGCGCGTCGACGTCCCACACTCCCATGCCCCACGACGGTTCCTGTGAGCTGTGCTGACAGCGACACGGACATGTTCCTGTTGGACCACTGCCGCTGTTGGTTAACGTTCGTTTCGTCGCGTCTGGAAGCCCATAGCCCTGTGTCCGGTTCGTCGGCGGATAAGGAAGTACTGCCTCGAGAGCGCTTTCTCGCTTCCACGGGAGGAGGCCATGTTTTGTTCGGGCTCTGCCCTGCGTCCACGGGGGCTGTACTCTGACTTATTAGAGAAAAATAATATTCATTAGTGAAAAAAAAGTAGGGTTTATAAGTCAGAGTACAGCTCTAGCGGCTAAGTACGGACGGTACTGCACGGACGCCGTAGATGATCTGCACGACGGAGATCTGGGCGGCGGCCGCGGCGCATGCTGCCCGCCAACGGCTACTTCCCTGCGCCGCGCTGGGTGTGTTTATCTTTAATTAATTGATTGATTGATAAGATCCTGCTCGTCAGGTAGGCTCCATAGACGCTGCTGGGACGAATTGGTTTACAGCCTGTTTCGGGCTTCATCGAATTGAACTTATAAGTCATAATTTATCAGTCAACGAATAATATTTTTCTCTCATACTAAACCAACCAATAATACTTTTAGCCATGACTTATCCGCTAAACAAGCCCAAACGAACAGAGCCTTAGCTCGTGGGCAGGTGGTGGTAGCCACATGGAATTAAATTGCGGATTAGGGTGTTGTTCGGCTGCTGGCTGGCCAGCTGACTCATGAAATCACTGTTCACGTGAACAATGATTCCAGACAGAATAATATTTTTATCTCACAACAATCAGCCGGAATAATATTTTGGCTTATTTTTCAGTCCTGCCGAACAGGGACTCTAGACTACGCTGCGGGACCGCACGCTGCTTCGATCTCGATTTCCTGCCTCTTTCTACCCCGTTATTTGTTTGGGTTATTGGATCCCTATCATTACAATTTTGGAACTTCCAAGATATACCATTACTATTCATCTATTTAGAAACTTGCTATTATAATTTTTCTCCGTCTTGAGTCATACCATTTTCTACGTATTCGACGGTATTAGGCCCACTCGCAGGTGACCAAAGTCCTTCGTATTTCCGTATGGACCAAAATACCCCTGCTGCTAGTCTCTCCATCCACTCTCTTTTGTGCGGCCCCCACTAGTCAGTTGCTTCTTCAATAGCACCCGGTGTCCGAGTCCAGCTCGGTCCAGCTTCGGGCGGCTCGGATCGATCTCGCCCTAGAAGCGAATGCGCGGAGACCGGAAGGCAGCTACCGACGCGAGCGTGGCAGGCCCCACCCCTTGGCGCGGGACCACCGCCATGGGCCAAGGCGACTCCGGCTCCGACGCAATCGAGGGGAAGGACGAGGGCGGCGCTGGATGGGAAGGAATGGTGGCCACGCCGGCGCGGTTGAAGGAAAGGGTGAGGGTGCTGGCGCTGGTGCTGTGGAGGATAGAGGCCTGTGGCCACCTGCGCGGGGGAGGGGCGCGGTCTCTCGTCGTTGCTGCCGTCGATGACAACAACGACGAAGGAGGCCGTAGACAGTAGCCGCTCCTAGAGGCAGAGCTGTGTAGAGATGTTGTGGCACTCCTTCCGCTCGCTCCGCCTCTCTCTCCTTGTTGGCGCCGTTGCCGCCTCCGGGGCACCCATTGGCGTTGGCGACGCCGGCGGCTAAGGCCGACATGGCGAGCTCCTCGATCTCCTCTTGAATCCCCTACAAGCGTCCACGTCGTCATGCTCCTGCAAGATCCAGATCGGGCGAGGGCGGCAAGCTCGGCTCACCATGGCAGCCATCGAAGGAGGTCGGCCCACCCTGGTAGCCCTCGATGGCCACACCTTCTCTGTCACAAGCTCCTCCTCATCCCCTACCAGTGAGCCCACTGCCACACCGAGGGGTATGATGGCGTGAGCTCCGGCGAGGAGCAGGACCATGGGTGCAGGGACCGTCGTCATTGGTGAGAATGGATTGAAGAAGGAGATATGCAGCTGTCTAGAGATTGAAGGAGCTGACCTATAGGGCCCACATGTCAGTGAGCCCAGGAGACAGAGGTAGCAGAGGCATATTCGTCTATACGAAAATACAATGTACTGCAGGTGGGCCTAACGTCTTCACTAGTGTAGAAAATGACACAACTCCGGTCTCTATTGAATTGTAATGGTAGGATTCCAAATAGGTGAATAGTAATAGTAATTTTCAAAAGTTGAAGAATTGTAATGGTATCAATAAAAAAAAACAATTTGTTTCTCAGTACTACAAGGTCAACTGCACGGCGCGTGTGGAGTAAAATGGAAATTCCCTGCATTTTAGAAGTGATCAATCAAACCCAGCCCAGCAAATACTACGGCCCGGTGCGTATGCACAACAGCTGGGCTATGTATGATCTGGCAGGAGATCGTACTCGGAGTCTATCACAGGCCCATCTAGTTTCTTTCTTTCATCACTTAGCAGACTGGTTTTCAATGGAATTGTTCAGATTTCGTAAGTTTTATTATCACTGCCTTCCACCTAGAATGTTTTACCACCGCGTCGGCAACCAGATCAAATCATCTTAACAACTCCATCGATGCCCACTGCCAACCGCAGTACACGGAGCTTGCCTACGCAGATAAATTTAACTCCAGTTCCCTCCTAGTTTCAGGCCTTGTTTGGGCTGGGTCAGCTAAAGTTAATAGAGAAACTGCTAAAAAAACCCTCTAGCTGATCCATCCAACCACCTTGTACTAACTAACTAATAAAAAGCTATTAACCCCTAGCTAATGCAGCTTAACTACTGTTCACATGAGGGGACTGTTCAGTGAAACGGAATCTGTGCAGGTGTTGCAGTAGAGCAGAAGATGAAACATCTGCATGACATGGGGCACCTGAGAAAATTTCAGCTGCACATTATCATAGCTCAACGGGCAGAGGAAATTATAACCCGGGGTCCATAACCACAAGCGAGGAAACTACTGCAGTGTGATGCGGAAAACCGCGAATCCAGCAGTTGATGCATCAATATTATACATACGCACAAACTTCTTATTTCGTACTACCAGAGAAAGAAATGCATGGAAACAGAGGACCCCTTCGCCTGTCCTGTATCAGTAGTGCTAGCTCCTGGGTACGTATACACACTAACACACCATACTGATACTAGTGTAGCTGCTCTTGTTTGCCAGCCTACGGAAGAACGGTCCTCACCACCTTCCTGTCTACTCCAAAGGACTGCATGACGGGAAAGATCATTAGTTAGCACAGAACACCCATTTCCGAATGTTACTATACATCATGTTCTCACATCACCCTGCAAACTAACCTACAGCAAGCAGTTTCAGTAGACAGTAGGCACAGATAGCGGCAAAGGTACACAGTAGGCTACTTGTTTATACCTAATAAGGAGGCAAATAATATAAGCAACAGGTTTTGAGTTGAAGTTCAATTTGCGTTACGGTGCAAGTTGGCTTTTATACTTCAAAAAAAGGGTATCCACGAATCCTCAGAAAAGACAGTTTCCTTTTTTTAAGAACCTGGCAACATTTGCCGTATTTATAAAGATAAAGCAGGAAGAAATACAGTTTCCATGAATCATAGGAATTGGTATGGAGAACTACTGAAGCATCGCTAATCTTGCTATAAGCCCTTAGCATCTATATACTTACCTCCAAACCGCAGTCATTAACATAAACATTTGTGAAGAGCTCAGATGGATCAGGCATTGGACTCTCCTGCATATAAAAGAAAATTCAATGAACTCATAAGCACAATTAGTCCAAATAAACTGCGGACATACAGATATACTAGAACATGTTAACAGAGACTCTCCTTGCAAAAAAGAAACAAAAAACAAAACAAAACTGAGACTCAAACCTTCGCTTTAGCTATGGCAGCGTCAACTTGCTTCCTTAACTCCTTTTCCATGTCCTAATAGAAAAGAAGAGTTGCCTTAATAAGGAATTTAATAGACCAATTCAAATCTTCTTCTAACTGCCAAGTAAAGGATGTTCAAGGCCATGTGCTTCTGTCATACATTTGTACTCTTAACAATCTAAACAATACCTTTAACTCTTGGGCCGTTGCAAATTCATGGGCCAATATGAGCTTCCTAACCCTTTCAATTGGGTCGCGCTCCTGTGTATCATAATTTCATAGACAGATAAATCATTCAGAATAATGTCTATCCCCGGAGGAACACATTTTTCAAGCGGAAGACAACTGCCATCCTAACCTGTCTTATCCCAGCAATCTCATCCCTAGTGCGGTAGGTGCTACCGGGATCTGACATAGAGTGCCCATGGTATCTATAGGTGTCCATCTCAAGGATCTAAAATATGAAATGAATAGAACCATGGTGATCACCATCTTTAAGAAGAAAGTTTGAAATCACAAAATAGATGTCAATGTCTCTATGTGAACTGAGAGAAGGAAGGATTGCGCATAAAGTGTGGATGTATTGGATTGAGCCATCTGGTGGTACAAAAGAGTACAAGACTATACAAGAGTATGGAGTTATGGATATACAGTAAATACTTACAAGAAAACAAATGAAGGCGTATGTAAGAGCTAGGCTGTAGATTAGCATAAGCTTTTTTTTTTTCAAATACTAAATTTACTAATGCTTCCAGGATAATTTCATCCACTATAATGAACAGGTTGCAGACCCTCAAATCAGAACTAGGAGTACTGCCAGTGAGAAATATACAAAGTAGAGAGACAGAAATGCTGGCAAAACATGCTTATAGGTGCAAGTAATCCACACTCTGCATTGACTATCTTACACAAAGTATTGCATTCTGGACTTGCTTGTTGAATAGAACATGATGATAAGTAAAGGTGCAAAACAAAAGGAAAAATGTATACGGTAACATATGCCAGCAAAGAAAAGCCAATCTACAAGATTTGAACTCAAGATTTTCATTCAAAAAAGAATTAAACTCAAGATAAAAGAGTAAAAGCAAATAAACCACTTGACATTCAGTTGAAATGTTGTGACACAAGCACTGAAGTTGATCTGAAAAAAACAATGAAGTTGAAATCGAGTAGTAGTATTCTAGAGTACATCTGATTGCATATCAGATCACAAGAAAATAGCTGCACCAAACATAATATTTCCACATTTTGGAAGAAAAACTATATGCAGGAAGCAAAGGGGCAAACAAATGTCAAGCTAGCCGGCCAAAATATATTTATATCTGCTTGTAGCCTAGTAAAGCTTTCCAGCTTACTGAGTATAGTCTTCCGGTCTAACCCCATATGTACTGGATTATGTTCTCTGAGATATGCATGCATTCATGTAATTAAAATGACAGAAATCAGAGTTATTTCTTAAATACTTACAATTGGCCCACTTTCAAGGACATGTTCTTTGGCAAATTTGCAAGCTTGCTTCACAGCAAGAACATCCATTCCATCGACCTGCACCAAACACAAGGTCAAGGTAACCATTTCAGTGCCAAGCATTAACTAGATTCCAGATATGAAGACCAAAATCAACATCCTATTATGCAGATTTTGCTGAACCAGGGGATTCCAAAAAGGAGATCAATCTTGACAATTCTAACATAAATTAAACAATCCAGCCTTAGAATATGCAAAGCTCATAGTGCTATTACTCCATCAAAAACTAAGGGACCATGTGTTTCAGTTTCAGCATACAATTTGAGATCTGAACAGACCCAACCGTATGACAGCCAAAAAATTAAACACTGAACTCTGGCGCAACCAAATTTGCATTTGGTTTTACAGCCCAAGCCCAATAATCCAACACTGAAGACCACCACACCGGGGCAACCAAATTTGCGTTTACAAAACTAATCAATTACTATTCACTTCACTCTGAAATAAACAAATAAACCAAACCGAAAAAAAACTCTTTACCTTTAACCCAGGCACATAGTCCCCGCGCTTGTAGTAAGCCGGGCTCTTGGAGGCCCTCCACTCTGCCGTCCCCATCCCATCTGCATAAACCAGGTAGTACTCCAAAATTACTCCACTTCTAATTTCGGAATCACACCGACGAACGGTACTATTACAGCACGACCAGCCGATCAGGCACATGGTAACAGAAGAACTCACAGTGATTGTTCTCGCAGACCAATACGACAGGCAGCTTCCAGAGCGCGGCCATGTTAAGCGCCTCGAAGAGCTGTCCCTGGTTCGCGGCGCCGTCGCCATAGAGGTCAAACGTGACGGTGCCCTCCTTCCTGTACCTCTGCGCGAAGGCGATGCCGCACCCAAGCGGCACCTGCGCGCCGACGATGCCATGGCCGCCGAAGAAGTTGGCGTCCCGCTTGTAGAAGTGCATGGAGCCTCCCTTGCCCCTGGAGCAGCCGTCCCGGCGGCCCATGAGCTCGGCGAAGGCGGCGACGAGGTCCCCGCCGCGCGCGAGGTAGAGGCAGTGGTCGCGGTAGGCGGTGGTGATGGCGTCGGCGCGGGTGATGGCGGCCTCCATGCCCACGGCGACGGCCTCCTGGCCGTCGTAGAGGTGGCAGAAGCCCCGGATGAGCTTGGCCTTGTAGAGCGAGTCCGCCGCGATCTCGGCGCGCCGCATCAGCGACATGTCGCGGAAGAAGGCCAGCAGCTCCCGCGCCGAGGTGGTGGCCTCGCGCGGCGGCGGGTCCACGATGTGGGACTTGAACGGCACCGAGGTTGACACGGTGATCGCGTCCGTGGAATCGGAGACACCCCGGGCGAGCAGGGGTACGGGTAGAGGTAGCGGCAGCGGCGCCACGCGCGGGCTGGCGGTGGTGGGGGTAACGCGGCGGAGAATGGCCCCGGCCATGGCGTGCAGGGTGGCGGGAACGGGCGCGGCAGAAACGGCGCGTTTCGTGTTGGTTGGGGAGGAGGAGGGCAGGAGGCCGCCGGCCGCCTGGAACGGGAAGGAACTGAGCGTGGCGAGGTGCAACGTGCACGGTGCACCGAAATCGCCGGGTTTCGCCGGGGGTTTTAGGGGATTTCGGGTTGTTTCCCGCTGGTTCGGCGTATAGGTGTCGAGCGAGCCGCTGGGTGGTGTTCGGCGGAGTGGCGGGGGGCAGACGGGCAGTGCTGGCGTCAGTCGCTCGCGGCCCGTGTGCTGCGTGGAGCTGCCGCGTGGTGCAGACTCGCTTGGCACGGGGGGCGTCGTGGCGTCGCGCGACGGACGGGAGACGGGACGGTGATGTGAGCTCGACTTTCCAACAGAAAAACCTGGCCTGTCGAGGACCTTGGTACTGCACAGTAGGACGAATCCGCGGCAGATCTTCGAGTTCGAAGAAGAAGCAAAACCTACTCGTGAGTCGCCACCCTTTTACTAAACAGAGCAGCCAAGCACACAGGTGGCTCGCCGGTAAAGCGACCTGGGAGCTGAAGGGGGACACCCGTCCCGGTGATCTTCGGTTGGGCCCCCATCCAACGTCGTTCGAGCGCATGGACACCTGTCACTGGTCCAGAATCCCCAGATCACGGACCAATCTTGCGACGACAGGCATCTCCGCAGCGGCCGACGGCGCCGGTGGGGAGCTAGGGTCTCTTTGGTGCAGACCATCCGCAATGGTCCAGCACCACCATTTCCTCAAAAAAAAAAAAAAAAAAAAAAAAAGAAGAAGTCCAGCACCACCCAAGGTGCTAAGTCAAGACGTGTCATATCATAGGGGATGTTAAGGCCTTCCCAACTTTGCTACTTTAATAATAGCTCCAAAAACCACGTAGAATCGGATAAAAAAAGTAGATGATTTACGTTTGTTAAGTGACTTACATAAATTACATATGTTTGGGAGAGAAAACGTGATCAATGCTAAAAAAAAAAGAGAGAAAATAAAGGTAAGGTTTGATAAAAGAAAAAAGTTTCTACACATACTATAAATAATGATAGTTTACATCGTATGAATAGTAGTCATAATATTAATCCTAATATTTTCTAGATCACTTTATTTATACCGGAATCACCGACAATGTTACGATGCCTTTTCTTTTCTCCAAAGTATAGCACCACCCGTCTCTGCGTGGGTCCTATGCAGCACCACCACCGCGTGCAAGACTACCAGGATGGGAAAGCTAATTTTTTAGGCAGAGCACCGGGTCCTCAATTTTGCACCTGTGCTAAGGTTGTTTAGCTTCGCACCCCCACGCTCCAACGTTTAGCAGTGCTGCTAAGCTGCTAGCTGCTTCTGTCTCCTCTTGCACCCCATCAGAACACACTAAAAATGCCATAGCGAAAGGTCTTAAATGAATAGAAGGATGAATAGTCTAACTAAAAATCTATAAATCACTAAAGTAAAATGATTAGTATAACAAATTACGATAGCAAGTTTTGCTCTAGCTCTACAAAATGATGCAAGCCACCTATCCAATCAATTCTAGTGAATTATAATCTCTATGACACACAAAGGTCTAGGTTGCTAATTCTACACTAGTGAGCTAGCTAGAACAAAATAACTCCTAATTACTTTTAGCTACTCAACTAAGCAATTCTAGTTACTTCTACCACTACATAAGTATATCAAAGAGTAAACACAAAAGATAGAGATAGATATATCACACGTGGCAAGTGATGATCTCGCAATATAAATCCCAAGGGAGAGATCCAATGCATAAGAGACAATCAATTTTTCTTCTGAGGTTCACGTGCTTGTCACGTACGCTAGTCCCCGTTGTGTCGGCCATCACTTGATGGTTCGGCAGCTAATAGGCATCACACACCAGTCCAACACTTGGACGCCGCAAGAACTTACCCACAAGTGAGGTAACCCAACAACACGTGCAATTTACTAGAATTACCTTTCGGCTCTTCGCCATGAAAGGTACAAGACCCCTCACAAACAACCGATCGGAGCCGGAGACAATCACCAACTCTGTTCAACGATCCTCCAAGCAACCGATCGGACAGGGCCCTAGGGGTTGTAGGGTCGAGATGGCGGACTAAAGGGAAGGTGAATAGTCCTTTCTAAAATTAAACGTGTCGGCTAACCAAAACAAATATGAAAAATATAACTATTAGTCTAACCAAGACTACACCCCTCTATCTAAGTTAACAAGCACCTTAAAAAGGATCCTAAACAAGCAACTAAGCTGTCGGACTAGCTAGAGCTCACCTAACCAATTCTAGCTTGCAAGGTCACACAAACCTATGCAACTAGTACTTCAAGCACAAGGGAGCTCCTACTCAATTAGTATGCAAAAGCACAAAGCCTAAGCTCACTAGCAATGCTCAATAACAAGGCAACTAATACCAAATTAGAGAGCGCAAATTACTTAGTTACACAAACTAAGCAATGTAACTAACAAGGTTACTAAAATCAAATTAGTTACGTAAAGGAGCTACTTCTATGCTACACAAGCAAGGAGGTAAGTAGCAAGCTACAAAAGCTAACTAACTACAAGAGCCACTACACAAGCACAATATATATGAAAGTAAATACAAGCTTGTGTGACGGAAATTCAAACCAATGGGATGACAAGGTTGACACGGTGATTTTTATCCCGAGGTACACGTGGTTGCCAACACGCTAGTCCCCGTTGAGACAAGTTCAAGGTTGTCGCCGGGTCTCTTGCTAGTGGTGACCTGCAAGTCACACTCTCCCACATGAAGTGCTTACCATAAGCTCTAGCACTTGATACGGCCGTACCACTTGTCGCCCTTCGCGTCTCGCTCAACTAGAGTTGCTCTTCGCGATCTCCGCGGGGCAAGCACAATACCCCTCACAAGCACTTTTCTGGAGCACCGCACAATCTCCTTTTCGTGCTTCGATGGAGCCACAAGCCACCAAGCCGTCTAGGTGGTGGCAACCTCCAAGAGTAACAAGCACCACCGGCGACGACGCTTTGAGGTGAGCAACGAAGCGTCATCACACCACCGACGAGTACCCTGGCCAAAATAGCGTGAGCACCTGATAGAGGGAATCAAGGTGAGTTCGGGGTTACAAGCAATTGAACTGCTATCAACCCTACGGCCTTACCCCCAAACCTACCGGCTCGGTGGCGCACATGATCGGCGGCAAGCAAAATGCCAAATTGCGGTCGGTAGTGCTCTATCGGGCTTGAGGGGAAAGAGACGACAAGCCAACTTCCTAAGCTACCCACTAGAGCAAGGAATTATGTGGGAAAGCTCATTGACGCTAGGAGGAAGAAGGAATGGTGGTCCCACCACTGTGCGATCGTGGACAGGGCACACGAGCGAGCCCGAGCATGTTAAGACGGGGCGGCTCCGATCGATGACGGCAGCACAAGCACGTGCGCACAGATGATGAGACATGGAGGCTTGGCACGGAACGCTTGGAATGTAATGGCAGGACCCGAGCGGGGCTCACCAGCGTCGGCTCATAGGGCAAGGCAAGGCAGAGAGACATCACCATCACCATCACCTGTGACCGGGGCCAGTCGACCCAGATGCGGCAAGCAGTGGCGCATGCCCAGAGGCTCGACGTGGTAGGTGAATTAGAGGGCGGAGCGAGTGCCACGGTGGCCAAGCGAGGGCAGCCGTAGCCGTAGCTTGCCCCTGCATGCGCAGCACAATGGCCTACCAGTCAAGTGTAGCGCGCGCACTGAGCAACAACGGGAGCCAGGCCACAGGTAGCCAAGAACGGCCAACACAGGGCCAGGGACGCCGCGTGGCACCGACCGACCGCGTGAGCTGGCCAACGGCAACAGCCAGGCCACGGCTTGGGCTTGGCGCCAGCAGCGCCTGCGCACGCGCGGTGACCGCGGACTCTGGCTGAACGACTGCAATCGGGTCGTGCACGCATTTTAATGCGAAGCAAAGACTGCTGATCAACACGACTAGGGTTCAACCAATTCCACTAACCTAAACCCGATACTAACAACGACCTAGCAAAGCAAGCGTCATGACCAGAGAGCAACTAGAGAGAGAGATAAAAGGATGCCAACATGAGTTCATCATGCTGAACGCCGGTTCATGAACAGAGCGCTAACAACATGGTCTACAGCTCGTTTCAACGAAGTTTGGGTAATTTTTGCAACGCCAACGCAAAAACAAACTAGTCCATGAACTACACCATGTCAAGGTACTCGTTATGGTGCAACCAACAATACAAAAACATGGATCTAGTGCTTAAGAAATTTAATCAAAATTTAAATGCCAAAATGACATCGTCATTAGGTTTTCAGACTTAGGTCATTTTAGTTCTAGAAGCTGAAATTGAATTCCACATTCAATTATCGAGCTATCAAAAATACTATTGAACAACATCTATTCACCAAAACAAAAGTTGCATTTTCATCTATCAAACTTGTACTTCAAATTTTATTTAAGTACTAAATACAAATTATATTTTATTTTTATTTATAAAAATTGTTTTTCATGCTTAATCAAATAGGATAAGCCACTCACTATTTATTTGCTAGAATTGCTATCAGGCATTTTAAGCACTTTCTTCATACTTTTCCAAAACAAACCCTAAACAACTTTTGTTCCATAGATTATTTAAAAGCTTTTAAGTACCATAAAAAATTGATTATCAACACTTATTTGATTCTTTTATTCACAAAAGTAAGTTACACTAGGTTCACCTTACCATTTCATGTGAGAATTTATTTTTAAAATCCTAGAAAACGTATATCGCTAGGGTTTATCAGGCCATAACCTCAGTGCTAACTAAGTCCTTAACACTAGGGGTGTTACACCTAGCTCGATACCACTTGTAGGGTCGAGATGGCGGACTAGAGGGGTGTGAATAGTTCTTTCTAAAATTAAATACGTCGGCCAACTGAAACAAATGCAGAAATATAACTATCGGTCTAGCCAAGACTACACCCCTCTATCTAAGTTAACAAGCACCTTAAAAAGAT